GAGAGAGAGAGAGAGAGAGAGAGAGAGAGAGAGAGAGAGAGAGTTCTTCTTCTTCCTCTTCTAAGTCCAGCATCTCTTCCTCACCCTCTCGCTACCTGACTTCTCAGTATCTGCAGACTACGAGAGAGAGATTGGTGACTTTGCGATTTGACAACATTTGGATCCAGACTCGACATTGGGATTCAGACATTTGACGAGGGATTATTTGGGACTGTACCGAAGACTTGGTGTTGACGACATTCCCATCTTCCCCTCTTCTTCGTCTAACCCCCCTCTTCTTCGTCTGTTTATAGTTGGGGACTGGTGCATTCTTCCTGTGTGAGCACCAGGCCCCTTCACACCATGGAATGATGATGATGTATGTTTGGTCTGCATGGCAACATTGATTGTTCGGATCATTGATATTTAAGCCTTCCGCTGTGTTATCTTGTACTTTGTGAGAGAGGTCGGTTCTTGTTCTGGTCTGTACCGTTACGGTATGCGACACCCATGGTCACCTAATTATGGCAGTGGTGGGACGCAGCCTTCCACTCCCTCACTGGAAATCATATCCCCTGGGATCTGGGCCTACTGCTGCTGGGAGACGACTGCCATCTGCTGGCACAATGGTCCCCCTTTGCGGCCAATCTCTTATCTTACACGAGCCTGCACCTCCTCATGCCGGCCTGGAGAGCCAGGTGCTCCTTCGAAAGGAAGGAGCACCACTTTGGCCGGCATCATGCACAACAAGCCATAGAAGAAGAGATCAGGACCGCAACACAGATTAGCCAACGAGAGAACATGTGGGGGCTGCACATCCGACCTGCAGGTGGCCGACTCCGGCCAGGGGTCAGCCGGTAGCATCAGGACTGAGCTTCTTCGATGGGCCAGTCGCTGTGCCTCCCCTCCGGTCCCCTTCCCCTGCGAACATCAGCAGTCACTGCTCCGTGCCACTCGGGGGGACCAACAGGCTATTTCTAGGTGGCGGGCGCTAAGCTTGCCCAGGAAGGTACATGAGGCCAATGGGGATTGAACCCACAACCTCCTGAATGCCACTTGTGTGCTTTACCAACGGAGCTAGCCCGCTGGATCCATGCGTGATAGTCGCGGAACATGGAAGCAAAACTTTTTTTTTCGAAACTCGAATTTGTAGATCCGTGTGCGTGTTAACAGTGTCATGGTTGCAGAGATGGCAAGCACAGAGATTCTCTGTATAATACCAGTTTTCATAGATGCATTTTATGGTGATAGGCACTGGGCCGGGGTTGAAATCAAATTCCAAGGCTTAAAAAAGAAAGAATGAAAGAAAGAAAGAAAGAAAGAAGGGGGGAGGGGGGGGGCAAACTAGCAAAACTATGAGAGTATAAAATACCAAAACATGTGATTATTTCCTCACAATTTTATACTATTCTGCACTTCTGGGGAGATTCTCATTTGGTGGCTGTTTACATTTCTGGGCCATTTTGGTTATAAGTTGAAGTGTAGTATGTGTTTTTTTATCAGTTTTAAGGAAAAGAAAAAGGAAAGGAGGAGAAAAAAGTAAGCAAAAA